TAGAAGTAATTTATTGAAGAATTAAGCAAAAATTTTCAGTAAAAGTTGAATTTTAAAGCAACACTTACATAAAAAAACGCAATTCGAGCAATAAATTTCAATTATTTTATAGTACTAGTGCAAATCAAAGCTTTCAACGCCGAACTACGTGAATAACGAAAAATTAAACTGCCATACCTTGATCCCGCGCTAAAAATTGGAAGTCTGAAAAAGATCTTTCGCGACTTATGCTCTCCTAATACAAATGTTGAAATTTATGAAAATTTTCAGTTTTGCGTCATATACGAGGGTTGGTCAAAAAGTAATGGAAAAATTAAATTTCAAGAAACAAGTTGAATTTTCCATTTCCTTTCGACTAACCCTCGTATTTGGCTCAAAACTGAAAATTTTCATAAATTTCAACATTTGTATTAGGAGAGCATAAGTTGCATCGGGTCTTTTTCAAAAAACTTGAATTTTCCATTACTTTTCGATTTCGATTTTCGTTCATATACATGGTGCGACTGAACCGAAAGAAAAAGGCAAGAACCAATAAAATTTCATAATCTGGTAAAAATAAAGCAAATGAGTGTGCCTTTAAATTGTTTTTTTTTATGAAGTAGCGACATTTATATGTTTATAGGAAAAAACAATTCAAAGGTTGCTAAATTTTGGTGAAGGTGCCAGACACGATACGAAATCAAATTCTCGCGAAACTTTGAAAATCGGAAATTTGTATTAGGAGAGCATAAGGCGCTTGGGAAATCAGACAATTTAGCGGGCAAATTTTAGTGTTATTATTATTGCCGTTTAGTACCTGTCTGATAATATAGTAGAAACCTGTAAACTAGATGCAATAATATTTAACTATGGACCGTGAGATGTCCATCCAGGTACCTGAGTTACGAAGGATATACTGTAATTCCTTAAGTGTAATATAAGGGATAATCGAAAAGTTTTAATAAAAAATTCTCAAAATTAATTTACCATGTTGATTTTCCGTATAAATGGGTCGATTTTGGCTGTTGTTTATTTAGATGTTGTTGTTTGAGGTTGCACGTCTTAAAAAATACACTTTATAAGCCTTACAATGTACTAAGGATATTGGTGAACATCTTCCTCCCGAGGAGTATATAAGGATTAAAATTTATCTTTTGCTGTAAATTTTTGTTTAATTCTTCAATAAATTACTTCTATATTAAAGATTATTCAATAAAAAAGCTAATAAAATTAAAATATATTTATTAAACCCATATATTTATTAATTACACTAATTACAACATATTTATTTCTAGTAATAGTTTAATACATAATATATATAAAGTATTTAATAGTTACAAAACCAGGAAATTAATTAACAGTTTACAGAGTAAAAAGAAAATACCTGTAAAACAAAAGAAAACAAATTACATTTGTATGCAAAAAAAAATCTTATTACTTACGAACTGTTATATTACCATTACAAAACAAGATTAAGGAGAAAAGTCTTCCTAACCCTCTGTGGCCTCCGCATCTCCCCTTATAGCCACCCTATCCACCCAAATGAATTTTAATAAACAAATATTTAATTTAATTTTAACATTTATGCCAAAAGATCAATTTAGAAACATTTTAACTATCATTCTAAGTTACAATTACATAATATAACAGTTCATAAAGTAATAAACAAAATACCTGTAAAAGAAAGACAAGAAAACATATGAAATTTCAAAGAAAATACAATAAAAAGCAAACAATACGATGCCTTCGTCTTCTTCGGTTACCTGAAAGCGAATAGTGCAATTACAAGGACTAACGACAAATACTAATAGCTTTGGTAGAAAAGATCGGACAGATTTCGCCAAGGCAAGCTGGGCAGTCGCCTATTGCTCCTATTCCAGATAACCCACTGTACCCTGTCTGAAAGGAAGTAACGCTAGAGTAGACTCGCGAAAAGTGTATAAGACACTTTTAAGATCAACTAAATAGCTAAGCCCAAGGGAAGTCGTTCGGGGAGGCCCTCCCTAATTCCACAAGGGTGAGAAGAAACACACACGATAACGAAACGTTGAATCATGTAGAACTCGTAGGGTAAATGCAAAGCAAATTAGGAAGAATATGCAGTAAGCTAAGCGAAGAGGTAAGCAAGAGACATGTTAGACTATGACTACCAAAAAAAACTAAACGTGTTAGTACAGTAATAACGACTACAACTAAAAACAATAACAACATCTACAATCAAAAATTAATTCAAATAAAATAAACTACAAAAAACATGCAAAATAGACAAGTATTTTAACTACGGGGTCTTCTTTATCTTCTCCACCGGCGATCTGAAACAGATAGGGTGGCAACAGATTAATAATGAGAAACAAATGTTAATTATGTTATGTATTCTCACCTTAATTAATTACAATGTGCCAAAGTCAACAAGTGCAAACAGTAATGCAAATCCAGGAAGAATGATGCCACTGCAGACAATTTGGGATGCAAATCAACTTCAAGGTGCTCTCTCAATCATTCGTCGAAGATTAATTGGATAATGTTGCAAAATGAAGATGTTAACGGCAGGCCAATGTCCATAGTCCAAGAAAAATGACACCACAGGGTAGAATAAAAATTAACTTCATGCTTATAAGATAATCTGTAAAAACGGATAAAAAATGAATTAACGAAGTGTAGTAAGTAAATAACATGGAATAAAAGTTGTAAATCAACAATGTTCTGTAATTTTTTACTGATTTTTTGCTATTTTATTCTCCCATTGCATTGCAATCCATAGAGTTTTAATAATGTTCCTGTGAAATAAATTGTTTCTAGTTCCCCTAGTAAATAATTTGATAACAGAATGTAAAACAATAATGTTGAGCACTAGAGAAGTTTTTATTACAATGGTACAAATGGAAAAACTTATACATTAGTAAGCCTCAGTAACCAGTATCCATCATCTTATTTTAATGTAAAATTCTAATTTGGGCACACATGCTTACCTTAAAAATGCAGAAAATTTTTCCAAGTGGGGAAGACAAGGGTAAACGAAGTGCAGTAAGAACATATCACTGTACACGATCCATTCGGGGACACTCAATAATACCCAAGGAAACTTCAATATGCTTTCAATAATAGGCCAATCTGTAAAACAGAACAAGAGAAAACGAATTAGATGCAATATTAATGAACAATATCTGAAAATTAAAACGCAATTTTCAACAAACAAAACCAAGTAAAGCTCCAAATTATATAATGGCCATAGATAATAGATATACAAAGTGTATAGGTAATAGATGTAAAAATAGAAATACAATAGATACACAATTATCCATTGAGCAAGAAAATGAACATTGGATACGTTCAAAAATATTAATCAACCAAAAAATCAAAGATTTAGTTCAATTACAAATTGTTAATAACAATTTTTCCAATAAAAAATTATGGCATAAATGATTAAAGAAGCTTCCTTCTATAGCGCTGAACGCCTGTTTTAATAAGGCATTAGAACTTGTATTATTTTTTATAATCTTTTGTTTATCGTTTATAACTAATTTCCAAGAGGACATTTAAAGTGGTATTTTAATTAGGGCATACATTCTTACCTTAATAAACTACAAGACGTTTCCTAACGTTTTTACTTGAAGAAGACAACAACAAACGAGTTGCAGAAAGAACAAGTATCATTGGACACCATCCAACTGTCGATATCACTCCAAATTAGCGTCAATAAACTTTCATTTGTAAATCAATCTATAGAAGAGAACAAGAAAAAACGAATTAGCTCCACTAATAATGATGAATACGTGAAAATTAAAGGGTAATTATGAACAAACAAAACTAAGTAAAACTACAAATCTAATTCATAGCCTTTTTTTATACCTTTCCATGTTTAAAATGTTTGCGAAATTTGATTTCGATTTTACTAATTAAAGAAAACGATTTTTGTTTATTATTGTGCAAGCTGATATAATATCTGATTAATTTCTTATCATTTTTCAACATATCTTGTGTCTCTGAAAATATACCATCAATTCTTCTTTTGAGTTTGGTGGAAAGGTGCAGTTCTTAATTTTAATGTGGCTGAATTAATCGAGTTGCCTCTATAGCCGCTGTTAGAAGAAGAACAAAAAGTTTTTAGTAAATTTAACTTTTTAACCTTAAAGTTTGACAAGTGTTTTCATGAATTTACTGAAGTAATACTGTTACAATTTATTAATTTAATTGAGAACTACTGTGAAAATTACAACATGAATGTTGTGAAACGGTATTTAAGTACTTTCACCTCAAGTTTGATAAAACTACCTAGTTTCAGAGTCACCCTAGTACCTGAAGTGAAGCCGTTTGTTTCAATTTCCAACAGTATTAGTCAAGGTACTGTAATACCAAGAAAATAAGAAAGAAATGTTCTGAAAATTACCCCATTATTTATAACAAGTATGTTGTAATTCATTATCTCCTAAACAGATAGGTAAAGGTAATCTTCTGTTCAAATTTAAATGATTTCTTATGAGAACTGCCAAATTAGTGTCACTATTAATAATTTTTCATCTTTCTTATTGTTTCCTACTTGTTCTCAATGTAAGTTCTTTCTTTCAGCAAAATATTTATTGTTAAAGTACTAAAGCATTTTTTAATTGATATCAAGATTATGAATAATTAGCATATCGATTGAGTAGCTTTATATAAAATAATTTACACATTAATATTAAAGAACCACTACCTTACTTTCCTATGCTAATATGTTCTGTTATTTGTGCAGGTTATAAAGTTGAAAATCATGGCCTATCAAAAATACATTTGCTGCTAGAAAATTTAACAAGATGATTTTATACTTTCAACAATTTCAACCTAAATAGTAATAATAAGTGATAAAAAATAAAAAAAAAACGTCCGAAAGATAAAGCAATCATGTTTAGATTTTTCTTTAAAATAGAGAAAGTAGGTATTATATATATTATTTATCAATAAATAAATTTGATATTCTCATACTGCATTTACAAGTAAAAAGCAGAATCAATATTTGCCACCCTTTCTCATAATCCTAATCTGCTTTACTGAATGATAACCAGCTACAAAATGTAGCAATAAAGATAGACACATTTATTACAAACTGAATGGTCAAAACTAAGAGTGCATGGCGTGGGTTGACCAGTGGCAGGTGACGCATTTTGAACATTGTCTAGCAGTGACAGATGAATAGCGCAAAATCACAATGCATCACCGATTTGAACTCACATCACGCTATATTGCACCGGGAAATGAGAAAGTGCAGGCTTGGAGATTATACTATCTGACCACCATCACACACCACCCCTTAAGCCCTAACGTTACCGTCAAAAGATGGTGACCACACACATTTTTAAACGTATCCACGAGACATTTCTTGTGCAGAATCTAATTCTTTAATATAAGTTTTAAGAAAATATTACAGACTACAAATGTACCTACCCAATACATATTTTGGAAATATATTATAGTATATATGGATTAATTTTTAAAATAGAAGTAATAAATTGAAAATAAAACAATAAAAGTACTAATACTAGAAATAATTAGACTCGGGAACAAAAACGAAATAGGGCTAATAAATGATTGAGTAGCTGGAACCAGGCATTTTCTCTGTGAAAAAAAAAAATGAGTATGAGAGTTTAGTTATAATAATAATCAACTTACACAAGTTAATGGCATTTTATTTTTTGCAGAAAGAACCATGGCATCTCTTAATCAAATGCACAGAACAGGGCCTCATATTAAAAAACGAAATCCTAGACGTCCCCTAGATGGCAACCCTTTTATGAAAGGAGTGGTACTCAAAACTCTTATTAGAAAACCGAAAAAACCGAATTCAGCGAATCGTAAATGCGTTCTCGTTCGTCTCACGAATGGAAAAGAAATGTTCGCGTATGTGCCTGGAATAGGACATAATTTACAGGAACACAATATCGTCCTCTGTCGGGTGGGAAGGCTACAGGATACACCCGGTGTTAAAATAAAATGTGTACGTGGAAAATACGATTTAGGTCATGTTATACCAAAAAGATAATCCTAAATATTTAATGTACCTATGTTAGTGTACCAATACAAATAATAAATGTTTTTTTTGTTAAACATTCTTTTATTTATTTTCGAAATGTGCAGAAAAAAATCTGTATGACGCTCTTAAGTGGAATGTTTGATTTGTATCATTAACGCAAGGTTGAAATTACCATTACTATTCCTGTTTCTTATTTTTCCCAGCGGTTTGATTTAAATTTTTTATACAGTTCTAGAAATGGAGAAATAAAATATTTACTTTTATCAAATTAAAATAATCTATATACTTATTATCGTGAATCAGGGTGTTCTACGTTCATTAACAAAGAGTGCGGGACGACTGGCCACACGGTTCATGAAAAGTGTATGTGTCTATATGCACAAAAAAAAACTCAAAAATATCCATCGTGATACTGTCTACACCACAAAAAGTACACATATGTTTCGAAATTGTATTTTTAATTAATTGGTTTTTATAAAAACAATAATACGATACGATACTTATTAAAAGATGAGATCAGATAATTATCTTTAATCATCTTTTTGCCTATAATCGTCAAAAGACACCCCGCAAATGCTGCTGGTAGGAACAATTTTTTGTTTTAATATAACGAATACCTACTAAAAGGAAAAACAGAGAAACAGATGATAAGCATAAAAAATCGCTTTTTTATCATTTCTTTCTGTAATACTTACAAATATACACGGTGATCATATAAAGATATGAATTTAGAATGCGATATTGATATTATTATTAAAAATGTACTAGGTAAATGTTTTTTGTATTATTTATCAAGGAAAACTTTGTATCATTTGAAACAACAAAAATATGTTCATCATTTCCACTGAAAGACCTTCGTGTGTATTATAGGCATTAATTCTTTCGAATAGTCACGAAAAAGACAAATTTATTTAAGAAGGTAAGCAGAGCAAACAAATTCACACAGGAATAAATAAAATGTGCAGGTATAACGGGATGCATCGTGTTCTCGGTGGCTTAAGACGCACACTTGAAAGACCGCAAAGGAACGACGAAAAGGACCATAACAGCGTACCGTCACAAAAGTGACATTCGTAACTGTTGACACGGTATTAGCGAGGGTTTTATTTAGATATGTGTGTGGGAGCGGACAACCCTTTTACGCGCGTGGCACCTGGCTTTTGCTACTTCTTTTCCTATTCGTTTCGCAAAATAAGATAATCAAACTGTTAACATGTTATAACGATTTTCATAAATTCAGTAGACGAATTTTGTTCTTAAAAGCATTGTGAAAACATCCCGTGAAAATAATCAGGATATCGGAGCAGTTCCAATTTCCAGACTGTACCTGGGACATTTCAGAAAAATTTAGGGAAAGTCTGCGCTCCAGGGAAGCTCAGAGTGTTTAGGAATTTTACTACATAACTTTGGAAAAGTCGGAAAAGTTCACTGGTCACAAAAACTCTGAGGATTGTATGGCGCAACACGGATAAAATCAAAAAAGCTCAAATTATACTCAGAATACTAGGATCTAACTTGCAACAACCCTTTTACGCGCGCGACACCTGGCTTTTGCTACCCCTTTTGTTGTGCATTTCACAAAATAAGATAATCAAACGGTTAAAATGTTATATCGATTTTCATTAGATTCAGTAGACGAATTTTGTTCTTAAAAGCTTTAAGATAACGGTCACATAAACGAGGGTCTCCCGTGAAAATAATCAGGATATCGGAGTAGTTCGAAATTCCAGACTGTACCTTGGACATTTCAGAAAAATTTAAGGAAAAGTCGGAGAAGCTCACTGGTCACAAAAACACTTGAGTATTCAAGGATTGTATGGTGCAACACGGATAAAATCAGAAAAGCTCAAAGTATACTCAGAATACTAGGATCTAACTTGCAACAACCCTTTTACCCGCACATCTGGCGTTTGCTACTCCTTTTCCTCTTCATTTGGCAAAATAAAATAATCAAACGGTTAAAATGTTACATCGATTTCCAATAAATTCAGTAGACGAATTTTGTTCCTAAAAGCTTTAAGATAACAAAATTCAGGGATTCTTTGGCACAACATGATAAAATCATCTGGCTTTTGCTACTCCTTTTCGTATTCATTTCGGAAAATAAGATAATCAAACTGTTAAAATGCTTACATACTTTAAGGAGATTAAGCTTATAGTATGTAGTATGTAAGTAAAAATTATCCCTTTCAGATCGCCTTTTCGAAAGATATCTGCAGGTACCTAGTCGCCATTGTACAATATTATTTAAAGCGTTTCAAAATAGTATGGACAATAAAAAAGGAACGCTCACAAGACGCAATAAACTTTCTAACGGAACCAGTGCAATTCAAAGAAATGTTTTGCCCACTTTTTACTGCATTGTCGACCTGAGCAATAAAACTTGTACTATTGTCCGAAAAGATTTTTTGAAAGCTTGCAAAATAGGGGAATCGGTAGGTCCTGCGACTACCGTCCTTTTAAACGTTTTACAGTTCCGTCTATAAAAATTGGGTAGCATTACGTTCTAAAGGAACCGATGCCATATAATTTATATATAGCTATGTAATTTCATAGCGTTTTTCAACAGTCGAAATTTTAATTTTATCATTTGCCATCAAATAACTTAAAGCTATACCTTTCTTAAGAAAAGATCAAAGCTAAATATGGGAATGGACTATAAAACATATAAAACATATTTGAAAAGGAATGTAATTGTCCTTTTGAATTATTAAACTGCACAAAACTGCTAAAATTAAAAAAATTGAAAGAAGATATCAAATAATGTAAAACATAAGACGAGTAATTCCTAGAAGATTTCATTGCATCTAATCTATTTCTACTCTAAAATTTCTTTTTAAATCTATAAAATACTCTAAATTCATCGATATTTTCAAAGCATTTAATTTTTCATTTTCATTTCAAACGTTAACATGACAAGTTTTAAAAATTTGTACTAAAAAAAGACATATAAATTATGGAATTAAATGTCTTCAACTACCATATCGTACAACAAATGAAATTTAAATACATCCTGAATTGTATAAAAAAATTATAACAGAAATGATCTTTAAGAAAAGAGATAGATCGCAAAAATAAATTTCATATTGCACGCTGTTCATCATTAGAACTTTATTAAATCTCGATAGATTATAAACGTCAATAATAACTTTTGATCGAATACGTCATAAGAATCGAACATATACATGTTAATCCCACCTCTTTACCTTCAAATTCATCTATTAATACCTAGAAACATATTTTCTTTTTCCCTTGTGTCCGCTTGCCACTTGTCAAACTGGCCAGCCTTTACAAATATGAGCTTATAGAAGGAACTGACATGAAAAAACCTCAAACTAGCCTTTACTTACTTTTACTTAACATCTTTTGTAAGGATATGATTGATGTCTGTGTCAAATGTCCAGTGCAATAACTGTATTCAGGATTTCCTGTTAGAAAATTGTCGACCTTACTGCGAGGATACGTAAGGGCTTTAGCTCCACTGACCTACATCTACATATACCGCCGCAAACATCTGCTTCAAAAGGGTTTATGTGAAATATTCGCAGGCTTTATGATATTTTTGAAATATGAATGGCGTAGTGCAAATTTGCTTGGACAATAGGTCGACAACCGGACCAACTTTGTCTAATATTAAGCGAGAATAAGCAATAGCAATAGTTGCGATAGTAATAGACATGAAAGGAATTTTTTTTAACATTTCTGATCAATATCATCCCCAATCAAATTAATATTGATGACCAACTAAATATGACCACGAGGTTCATAAAATAGGTTTTCGTTAGTTACTGTACTTCGTGACGCCATCAACATCATTAAAGACAGTACAACTGTGGGATAGATGTGCAAGGGCAAAAGATTAATATGCTTAGATTTGCAGATGATATAGCAGTATTAGCATCCAGCAAGGAGGACCTAGAGATAGCTTTAAATAAAACGGAAGCGGTACTGACAGATCAGTACTGTATGAAAATAAATAAAAGTAAAACTAAACTACTGGTATGCAAGGGAAGAAAAAGTAGGGAAAGAGCAAATATAAAGATAGGAGACGAAAAATTAGAAGAAGTGGCTGATTTTAGATACCTAGGAAGTCAGATAAGTCAGGATGGAAGGAGTAGTAAGGATATAAAGCAGAGGATAGCGGAGGGTCGTGTCGCCTTTAATAAAAAGAAGTCACTTCTATGCTCGCGAACGGTTAATTTAGAAATTCGAAAAAGGTTGTTAAAGGTGTATGTTTGGAGCACGGCGTTGTACGGGTGCGAAACATGGACAGTGGGTTAGAAGCGTTCGAAATGTGGTGTTATAGGCGGGTGATGAGGATAACGTGGGTAGAAAAGGTTAAAAACGAAGAGGTATTGGAAGGAGTAGGAGAACAGAGGACTCTATGGAAGTCAATAAAAAATAGGCGAGATAGATTGGTAGGACACCTTCTCAGGCATGAATGTCTAGACAGAGACATATTAGAGGTAGAAACAGGAGTTAGGAGGGGTAGAGGTAGACCTAGATTAGACTACTGTTCGCAAATTGTTAAGGATATGAGTTTTTATAGTTTTAGGGAAATGCGAAGTTTAGCTTAGGATAGGAAAAAGTGGAGGTATGTGTCCAACCAGTCTTAGGACTGACGACCTTATGATGATGACTGTACTTCGTGATTTTAGTCACCGAATATGAACTATAAAATAAACCGGTGGTTTTTCTGAAAGTATAACTTTTATCTATGTAGTAATTAAACAGATTAACTGCTAGTTATCGCAAACAGTACGAGTTATGAAAACATTTGCTTTAATAATACCATCGGTCTACGTGATCTGACATAATGGACAATCGCTGTACTAACTTCCTAAAATATTGTATAAATATGTATAATAAAACTTGATTAAAATTTCATGTTACGCAGTAGCACCCAGCTGTCTACAGTTTATTGTTATCTACCAGGAATCTTTATTCATCCCATATCATCTTATCAGTGTTAAATTTACAACTTGACCTGTGCTAATCGTTAGGATAAACAGAATCGGTAATAGGGGTTGTTAGTTGATCAAGATAAATGGTTAAACAGTTGTGATGCATTCCT